CTACAAGTGGGCCTAATAAATGGGTTTATCTAACATACAGCCCAGCCCAACCAAGTTACTGAGCTCAACCGAGGCAGATCCATTCCATCCATACAGCCAGCCAAAGGGAACCCAAACCCAGGAGGCACACAGCATCGCCGGCGGCGATGGATCCCCTCTCCATGCTCCGCGATTACGCCGCCCGCAACGAGCTGGACAAGATCATCTTCTCCGGCGACGAGATCCACTTCGGCTCCGACTACACCTTCCCGGCCTCCACCCCCACCGCCTTCGCCTCCAAGCAGTCAGGCCGCCCCTACCCGCTCTCCGCCGCCGTCTTCCTCGCGCAGCACCACGACCTCAAGCACACGGACTTCATCCAGGCCGCGCGCCTCCGCCGCATCCCGCCCGTCTCCCTCCCCGACCGCAAGACCTTCCTCGACTTCCTCCGCTTCGGCCACAACTCCCTCCCCTCCGCCGATCCACTCCTCCCCTCCGCCTTCCAGCCGCAGGAGCCCCACCTCCACCCGCCCTCGCCGCCGCCCGAGGACCCCGCGGCCGCCGAGGAGGCCACCACGGGGATGCAAATCCGCGCGCTCGAGCGGCCCTTCAAGGACCGCAACGCAATCCTCGACGCCCGCGGCCGCGATTTCCTCGCCGTCTTCCAGGCCGCCGTGCGCCGCCAGGACGAGCAGCGCAAGGCCAGCGGCAAGGACGCGGCGCCCTCTTCCCGCCCCGACTCTGGCTCCGCCGCTGCAGCCCTGGCCAAGCCCAAGGTGCTGGACAGGTCCCTGGGCGACGGCGTCGTCCCCATCATCCTCGTGCCCAGCGCCTCGCAGACGCTGATTACGATCTACAACGTCAAGGAGTTCCTCGAGGACGGGGTGTTCGTGCCCAGCGAGGAGAGGATGCGAGCGACCAAGGGAGGGAAGCCGGAGAGCGTAACAGTGCAGAAGAAGCTGATTCGTACGGAGAGAGCTGGAGGCGCTGGGGGTGCCGTCTCCTTCGAGGTTAGGGACAAGCCGGCTTCGCTCAAGTCAGACGATTGGGGGCGGGTGGTGGCTGTGTTTGTGCTCGGCAAGGAGTGGCAGTTCAAGGACTGGCCCTTCAAGGACCATGTAGAGATCTTCAACAGAGGTGTGCCTCTTGCTCCTTCATTATTGTACATGGTATTCATCATGCATATGCAATCTGTTTTTGGCATGGTCGTGTAGCTTCGGTGTGGTTGAAATTTATGTTTGTAGCTTCATTTGACATGTAGAATGTTTTATCCATATTATAGGATATAATGGCTTCGGTGCCATTTTGTTAGGAGCTTACCTTTTTATCACAAATGAGTTAAAGGATACGTCACTTGTCGCTTTGAGCAAGAAATTGGTTTTTCTGCAGTGTTTGTTGCCACTTCAGGAATTAAACAGCAGCATGTAATAGTTGAGCTTCCCTGTTTAGCTTCTTTAGACTAGATATAATTTTTATGTTCAGATAATCTAAAATGAGAGGGCTTGTTTTATGCTTGACACAAGAGCCCTCCTGAACGACAGCTCTATCGCAAGCTACAACAACAACAACAACAAATCCTTTAAGTCCCAAACAAGTTGGGGTATCGCAAGCTAGATTAACCAAAAATGGAATGGAAAAAGCGAATGATGGAAGCAAGGTACGGAATCAAGTAATTACATGCATGAAGTAAGAATGGAACAGACCTTTGATTCTGGCGATGGCAATGCTCCGGCCTCCGGGCTATGGGGGTACTCTAGTTAGGGTTAGAGTTTAGGAGTTGAGTTAGGGGTTCAGGTGGGGGATGTGGATAGGGATTTGTGGATGCTCCATGTGATGGTGATGGCGGCGCTCCAGTTAGGTTTAGGGATCGGGCTGAGGGTTCAGGTGGGGGATGAGGAATAGGGATTTGTTATTGGCGGGCCTAAAGTGAAGGTTGGGGAGGTTGCCAGTTTTGGCGATGGCTGGCAGCGGTCAGGACAGTGAGGTGGTGGGCGCGCAACCCGCTGCAGTGGCTGAGGCGGCTGGAAAGAAGGGTTGGTTGCTGGGGAGGCTCACCGGTGTGGTTAGGTTAGGGTGGGTAATAGGGGCGGTGGTGCGTACGGGTGGTGATGTCACCTAGGGAAACGCCGGAGGCTGTGCGTGCGGTGGGCGGGGGTGGCGGACGATGGACATGTGTAGTCACAGCTACTAGGCGTTACCAACCACCCTACTTTTGAACGGGTCTATCTATTCTATTTAGTACTGGATAAATGCTTTAACAACTGTAAGTTCAGATCACCATATTCTGTTATAGATTTTCAATTCCTGTATATTTACTTGCCATATGCCTATATCACTGCTTGATATGTACCATCATTTTTCTAGACATGATTAACTTGGTAATTAGGAAATCACTATATATTATTCTTATTCTCATGCAAACGATGTAGGATACTATTTGTGTCGTATTATTGAGTTGCATGCACCGACCAGTTCAACCCAAAAGCTTAAGCCTATGAGGGAAAGATGGGCAATTCACTTATATTCCAACACTCCCCCTCATGTGGAGGCTCCCTCAGGCCTCAGACGTGGAATAGGAGCGAGCAACAATTATTTTATTTTAATTGTGCTAACCAGGATTCGAACTCGAGACCTCTGGCTTTGATACCATATTGAGTTGCATGCACCGACCAGTTCAACCCAAAAGCTTAAGCTTATGGGGGCAGATGGGCAATTCACTTATATTCCAACACTTCTAATGTCTTGAAACTTTGACAGTTATTGGTTTCTATGTGCGCTTCGAAGATGATAGTGTGGAGGCAGCCAAGGTGGTGAAACAGTGGAATGTGAAAATCATATCTGTAAGTCTGGGATGAAAGTTGGTATATTCTTGGGCACAATCTGTTCCAATGCTGCAGTGCTTACATCTACATGGTTATGTTGTGGTGCAGATAAGCAAAAATAAAAGGCATCAAGACAGAACAGCTGCTCTTGAAGTATGGGAGCGCTTGGAGGAATTTATGCGAGCACGCACGTAATTGGTGTGCAGTCATGTAAACCTTCTATTTTCACTTTTACTGAGTTCTTGTTATATTACACAGCAAGTTCTAACAGGATTGGGTATCATGTTCTGTATGATTAAATTGTCTGCTCAGTGACCATAGGGGAATAAGCAATACATTTGTATTCACTGAAATTTTGTTGAGTCTATAGTATATTACTATGGAATAATCAGCTAATTTTGGAACATAGTCAAAGGGTATACCTTTAGTTATGTGCACTTTCTGTTGATAGTAATTGAACGAGCTCGTTTCATGAACTGAATAACTTTCTTATCTATTCCATCTGTGAAGTGTTAGAATATGTGTCATGGATCAGAAAAATAGGGCTTGTTAAATGTTAGTATAAAGTTATTTATTTTATTTTGAGCCTCGTTTGGCTTGTGGACAACAGCTCATGTTCGTAAGTGACTAAGTGCCAATTTAATAATTTATGCTATTTTAGTGACAATCTATAAGGATTTGTTAACTTTGCAAATGTTACCCTTTTTGTTTTTGATTCGGCTGTGCTTGAATTACTTAGCTTTTGTGCAATCATAATATGGAAGGTGCTCGTAATAATTAACACTCCCCATGTCAAAAAATATAAATCATAATAGTTAATGAATAATATTCCCTCTGACCAGCAATTACTCTATTAGTACAGAATTTTTGTTATGTTATTAGATTAATTTTTAAAAGCTATTACTTATGATTATGATTTTGCATCACATAGTGGATTTATTAAGTATTACCTTTGTTCCAAATTATAAGTCGTTCTAACTTTTAAGTACATTGTGTTTGCTATGCATCTAGATATACACTATGTCTAGATACATAGGTAAAATTATGTTTCTAGAAAACCCAGAACGGCGATATAATTTAGAACGGAGGTAGTGGCAGTGTCAAAGCCTTGTTGTAGTAAGAATGAAAGAAAAATATGCCATATATTTTGATGGAGGGAGTAAGTGATTATTTTTTGATGGTGGTAACTGGACTAGCAATTGTACTACAAGTTATATCTTTTTATATTTTCTAATTGATAGTCTTTGGCTATGCTTCCTTGCTGAAGGATCCTTCACCTGTTCATTGTTAGGGCAGTATCGTGTCATATTTCTGTCAAATTTGACTAAACATTTCCCGTTATCTAATACTTCTCAGTGACATTTGCTTCTCAACGTTATTTTCAGTGTGACTGTTAAACACCCAAATGTTATGTTGAGCTGGAGGCAGACTTTGTGCTTGTTGAATTACTGATCGGCAGAATGACTTTGTTTTTCTTAAAGGGAAAGGATAAAAGACAACCATTTTCCTAGATTCAATCTCAATATTGGTGACAGTATTTTCCTCTCACAACATTTCAGCATAAGCATCAACATAAGCCAAATTTCAGCATAAGCGAACAGGGTGAGTAGTAGATGGCAGAATGGAATGGCTGGGCGCCCATGAAGACTGCAATCTTTGTACACTAGGATGTAGTTTGTAATGTTGTACTTGCAAACTGCTAACTTCTTATTTCTAGGCAAGTATATGAGATAATTTTGCAAATTGCGCCTGAAAGTACATTTTCTTTCTACTTCTCTATGTTGTGGGGTCGTTGTCCGTCAATCTTTTCGTGCTCCTGCCATTATATGAGGTCTAAGTTTCACATTTTTTCTATATGATAATCTGCTTCAGTTTGCCGTTATAATGTACTCCCTCCATTCAAAATTATAAGACGTTTTGCTTTTTCTAGATCCATTGATTTTAATATGTTTCTAGACATAAGTGTATATCTAGATACACAGCAAAATCTATGTATCTCGAAATATTAAAACGTCTTATAATTTGGAACGGAGGTAGTAAAAAGAATGGCCTGATGTGTGAATATCATGATCTGATTTCCCGGGGCATCTGCTTTGCTTTTGTAGATTCTGTACAATGGAATTTACTGTAGCTGCACAACAGTAGGGTGCAGTCTCAACTTTACATCAGCACATTTGGCGCACGCTTAGCAGACTACAGTTACACATACATGGTTGCAACTGAAGCAAGCAACACAGCGACGAATATAGTGCCTGCAGCCATGTCTCTAGAGCTTGTCGCGCCAGCTGCATGCAGTAGTTCCGGGAGCTTCGATCCAGTGCCTACCGGCGCCATTGCGGTGGCAGAAGCATCTTCTGTGGGTGTCGGCGGTGCTCCTGACGTGTCTGGATCAGCAGCAGCCGGCGTGCCCGACGACGGTTCAGTTGCCGGTGTGGTGGCTGCTGGAGTCGTTGCAGACGGAGGCGAAGTGCCTGCCACCGGCGGCGTGGAGCCCTCGCCGGCGGCGGCTTCTGCAGCATCACAAGAGAAATGGCAAGCTTGTCAAGCTGCTGGTGAACTGTACCAGGAACGACTGGTGTTTGTGCGAAAATCATGCATAATGTACCATCGCATGGGTTGGGCAGGTCGCAGACGTTGGGGATCATGGCCTGCGCCTGGCCGAGGAACAGCCCGATGGGGCTGGGCGCGAGCTTGGACGCGGCGCAGAGGCACGGCGCCTGGGCCAGCAGGAAGCCCCGGAGCTGGGAGCAGCAGGAGGCGAGCGTCGCCGAGCCGACGCCGAAGACGTAGCCGATGCACGGCGACAGGCTGAGTGGCGCCGGCGGGCAGCTGGGCAAGCCCGGGAACGCCGCCGCCATCTGCTGGCCCGAGGACAGCGTCGCCGTCGCCGTGACGACGACGAGGGCGAGAATCACCTGGAGCCACCGCCGGGCCATGGCCGGTGAATGATGACTGGGACTGACGGTGGGGTTTTCGGCGAGGACGAGGACAGTAGGCGAGTAGCTAGGCGACGGTGGTTTATACCGCAGGCTGTTGGGAAAAAAATGGGGCTTGTGTGGGTATGGGGCAAAAGATTTGTGTGCCTCACTGCCTTACTCCAGAGTGGATGGACCGGTCTATCTAACTCGCTTTGGTACGGTGTCTGAGTATGGATCGGTTTGCATGTTGTGATGCGACCTGTGTTCTTTTCCAGGGTTTATCGGTGAACTGACCGGAGAATATATGTATCTGTCTGCCTCCATGACTCCATGAGAGGTCTGTCTCATTCTCTTCTCTTGCATTTCAGAATTTGGTTGTTTGTCTTTTGACCTCAGCTCGCTCGGGTTGGTGATCAGCCCTCTAAGAAGGCGTTTCAGTTCATGGTTTTGGCCACTAGAGGCAAGTCACCATGAGGTGTGAGCCATCTCTGCCTTTGTGGACCATGCCAGGTTCATTTTCTGGGGAGAAACTTGTTTGGAAACTGAAACGGATCCAGGGTAGGTTGGTGGTGTGACTGGTGTGAATCGTGTGTGGTACTACTAGGCAATTCTTGTGAAATACAAACGCGTCATGCATGAGTGTAACTAAGAGCTTGTTTGTGGATCCACTGGTGCTAATAGTTAGCAGCTAAAAGTAGGTGGATCTAAACTGGCTCCTGCTAAAAATTAGCTAGCTAATAATTAGTAGCTATTAGCTATCTAACTATTGATACTAGTAGATCTAATTGGACCCTAAATGATCATTACAGCTAGGAGTATTTGCCCTATAAGAAAAACTTTTTATGATGAATCCTTGGAGAAGTTGAGATGGGTAAACAACGGACCATCAAGCGATCCTTCCATCGCCTGACCGATTATTGGTACCTTCGGCTTCTTCGCTCTAATCGTCTTTTGTGCTTCCACTAAAACTGTGAGGATGTTAACAGTATATTTGATAGTTATTAGGATATCGTAATCCTATATGTATCTTGGGGAGGCATTTTGCCGCCCAAATCTTTATACTCTAATTATACTGCTCGAGAGACTCAATGTAAAGCATCCCACGAATTATACATTTATACACAATCAACTAATATTCATGAATTATTTCCATTTTATGGTATCACGAGTTTATGTTATGTTCTTAAATCCTAAGTCTCCACTACCGACACCCGTGATGCCCCATGGAGATTGTTCTCTATAGGAGCAGCGCCATTATAGTTAAACTAGACCAATCTAGTTATAGTTAATTCGCCATGCGTATCATCGTCAAGCCCACTAGATTGGAGTTTACCTGCGGTGGTCTCTGCTCCGTACCATCAGGCCACACCTCTGCACTTCTTAGGACCCGTCTAGCATAACTCTAGCTTCGAAATCTATCGTACTTCTGTTATCCCAAATTATAAGATGTTTTAGCATTTCTAGAATTATAAATTTTATTATGTATCTAGACATAATATATATCTAGATGTATAGCAAAACTTATAAATCTAGAAAAGCTAAAATGTCTTATAATTTGAAATTGATGAAGTACATCTATAGTTTGTAGATTAAATTAAAGTGGTTTAAATAATTTTATTTAATTTCAAATATAAATAAAATGAGTTATGTAAATGCACTTAACATGTCTATAGCTTTAGATCAAGGATTTCTAGACCTGCATGTGATCAGCTCTAGAAAATCCACATATTTTCTAGAACTAGAGCTCTGCCAAACAATATGTATGGTGAGCAGCCCTGTTCGCTTTGCTGAAAAGCCAGGCTGAAAAATGTTGTTCGTTGATTTATTGTGAGAGAAAAACATCCTATGACTGATAAAAGAAAAACAGTGTACCGTGTCTTAGTTGTTTCCGTTCATGTGGTCTCCAGGAGCTGGAAGACGTTGCCACGTTGGATTAGACACAACGCAACCAGACTGCCCAAGAGAGAACGCAACGCAGTGGTTTAGTGGTAGAATAGTGACAACACTTTTTGATATTGCACCAATCATTCTATTGAAACTCAAAATCTGTCAAATGCCCACATTCACGCACGTCTGGCGTGGTCACTGCGCCTGTTCGTTGGTTGGATTCTGGGCTGATAAGTCCGGCTGGTGCTGGTTTGTTGTGAGAGAAAAAACATTGTTAACTGACTAATAAACCCTGGCTGAAATCAACAAGCGAACAAATTGACTGATCGTATGAAACTCCCAATAAGTATAGAGAGCATTACTAGAACATGAACAACATACTACCAACCAGCTCATCTGAACGTATGCACCATCGACATGACTCACAAGTCACAACATTGAACAAATCCCAGAAGCCAGTAATCAGAGCAGGGTTCAAAGAGGATAAACGACTAACAAGGACATAAAGAGAGCGGCAGCAGATATGCCACTGGTGGAGCCTGCCGCTGCAGCCGAGTGAACCAAGCCTGGAACTGACTTGATTCCTGCGCCACCGGCTGGCGCCGTCGGGTCGTCCTGACCGTTCGGCTCAGTCGCCGGCGCCGCCGCGGCAGGGGTTGTGCCTGACGCCGCCGGCGTCATCGGATCAGTCGGGGTAGCGCTGCTCGTTCCCCCCGAGCACGCGTCGGCGGGCAGGTCGCACGAGCTAGGCAGCAGCTGGCCGAGCGTGGACCCGAGCTGCTGGACGGGCCCCGACGCCATCGCGGCGCACAGGCAGGGCGCCTGCGACTGGAACATGGCCCGTATCTGGGCGCAGCACTCGGTGGGCGGCGACGTCGAGTTGCCGATGAGGTAGCTCACGCACGGCGACAGCGTGGCCAGCGCCGGCGGGCACGCGGGCACGCTCGGTATAGCGGGCGTCGTCGTCGTCGTCGGCTGTGGCAGTGTTGGCAGTGGCAGTGGCGGTGGCTGCTGCTGCGCCGACGTTGTGGAAGCGGCGGCGCACATCAGGGTCATCACGGAGAGGGCCAGGCACGGCCCGGAGAACCACGACGACTGGATGAAGCCGCGCTGCCGGTGCTGAGGCGCCATCGGAGCCTACGACGTGGGCAAGCACGTACGTGTTGTGTCGTTCACCGGGTGGGAGACGACTGGGAGTGGTGGAATTGCTAGCTATGCATGTGTTTGTGGACTCGTGGTTTATATACGCATTCGGTATGTGATGTCTGATGTGATATACAAACTGCTGTTGGAGGAGAAATGTATAGGTGAAAGTGGGAGTGCTTTTTGTGGTCGGGTAGATGCACTGCCCTATCCACCTTCAACGTATATTAGATGGGTTTGAGACTGATACCTTGTGTTGCCTTCAATATAATAGCAGTTTCGTCCACTTTTCGCAGGACAAACGCGTTGCTTTCTCCAGCGACTTTGGTGAGAAAAATCTGCGGTAGGATGGGTCATATACCCATATATCAACCACTGGGGAAGCAGTTAGCAGTGACACTAGCCAGCACTTCCGCTGTCACAGTCGTGGATATAGATGGCCATTTGAGCCGAGGTCCACGGGCAGGTCCATGGGAACAGCCCATGACCTGGCGTTTTGGCCTGGCCCAGGCACGCTATGGCCCGACCGCTGTTGTTCACATTCTGGCCCGGTCCGATCGAAGGGGCGTGTGCTGCTACCTGGCATGGCGTGCTTGTCTGATTTAGCCCGATTATCAGTCTGCCGGATGCGGTCTGCTAACCACTATCTAAACTCTAGCTCCCGCAGTCGTGTCACTCTTCACGACTCGGCTCTCCCTCGCGACTGCCATCACCGCTGGTTCTCCTCACATATCGCTGGAGTATGAAGGGAGTGGGACCTATCGTTTTAATAAATTTTTTAGTAAATCAAGTCCTTAGGGTCCGTGTCTCTTCATGCTAAGTTTTTTTACCATTGGGATCTATCTCCTCCTCTCCGGTGACGGTGATGGGGCTCGGTGGAATCGTTTTCTCCATGATGGCTCAATTGAAGATGAGGGCAACAACTACTGCGTCAGCAGCTTCATGATATCGCCGTCATGGAATAATTTTCTCTTATCTCTTCTCTATTTTGTTGTGGTTAGATCTGGCCACAATGAAGGACTAGGGAGAATAAGTTTCAGATTAGTCTTCCTCATTCTTCGGTGGCAGAAAGGAAAAGAAGGAAGACACAAGAAAGAAGAAGTTTCTCATCTCCGCCTACAGGAATGTTGGCCGTCGTTCGTTGGGCATCTATTCTCAGGTCTTTTGCCGAGTGTTTACCTGTGCGGTCATCCATACAAAGCGTGATAAAGGTTTGGTTTTAAGATTTGGAGTTATTCACAGCGTAGGTACAATTTAGATGAAAATCAGTTTCTGAAAATATGTAGTGTATTCCAAAGTACTTGTGACGTGTTGATGTACCCAGCTTTTATCTAATATAATTTTTCTTTCGTCGGAAAAAAAAAATGCCTCCCGCATAACCTCTTGTCCTTCCCACGGACAATGTTGTCTCATCATCAAGCACACGGTATAGAAGTTAATCTCAATCATAATGGTGCTTAAATTGGCTCGACCAAATTGTTAGCACATATTAAGCACGGATAATGTTTAGGTAGAATGGTGGACCACCTTAACCAAGCATAGGAGTCTCCCCTCCTTATCGTTTGGGAGATCTGGAAGGAGAGAAACACAAGGGTTTTTTCCAAGCACAAATTAAACCCTCGTCACTTTTCACACAAATAAAAACAGAAGCGGCAGACTAGGTTAAAGAGGGCTCTTCTACGATCATCAATTCAATAAAACCGTACAAATATAAAAGAAATGGTATTTTATCCTTACTAATTGGATCTTGTTGCACCCGAAACCAAGAAACTTTCTGAGAGAGATAAATGGACCATGTATTAAAAGTAAAGAGCTAACTACAATACAAGTAGACTGAGAGATGGGTTGTAAAGATCTATACAGCCAGCAACAGGCTATATTATTAGCCTGGCTCTTACAGTGGGTGCAAAAAGTTTAGTGATTTTGGCTCCGTTCGCGTGCCCTTAAACCCGGCTTGATCCGTTTCTTTTTTTCATCCGGAACAGTATTTTCCTTTCACAAATTCGTTCAGAATTCCTCCAAACCATCCAAATTCCTCCATAACAAGGGCATCCGAACACCCCAGAATAGGCTTTTGGTTCTACCACTCCCTCTTTTTGTTTTCTTCTGTGTCTCTTCTAATCGGGCTCTACCTTTCTCTTCTATATTAATGGAATAGGCACAATCTCGTACCCGTTCATTCAACCAAAATCATCTAGCCTTGTCTCCAATAAAGCAATATTTTTTATTTATCAGATCAAAAGCCAAAAGTACCCAAACCATCATAATTTTTTATTATATGACTATATGTCTTTTATTTAATTTTCTCCTTTTGATGAACCATATTCATTTTTCCTAGAAACTACCTCAAGTTCACTCATATGACTATTGGTGTCCCCATCCATAACCTCTTCTATTAAATCGTCCACAAATGTAGTTAAGGATGTGTTTGGAAAGCATGAAAAAAAAAGAGGAATAGAAAACACACGGTAATAGGATGGAGTGAAAACAAGAAAACTACACTATTTCAGAATGCAGGAATGGAGTATTTGTGTTGTTTGGGTTACAACAAAGTTAAAAGAGGAATGTCACGTGTGCCCATGAAGAAAAGTACTCCCTCGTTCTAAATTATTAAAAAAAATGACCCGTGGTGGCTATACAGCCACCATAATTTTTGGCTTAAGGTAGAGACCTCACGTAGGTCGAGAAAATTCCCGAACCCCGTACCCGCCCGCACACAGGGCCCGTAACCCTGTGCGTGGGCCGGTGCCTACAGACATGTGATTTGGGAACACGGGGCAGACGAGGGTTTTTTCACCTCTGACGTTGCAAATTCACCCCGTGAGGGATCGAACTCAAGCCACGAGGGTGCTAACCGGAGTGCGTGACCAACCGATCTAGCATCCTTTGGCCCGTTCTAAATTATTAGTCATTGTAACTTTCTGAAGAGTCAATGCATCTCAAGTTTGATCAAAATTATAAAAAAAATTACAAAGATTTATGACATCAAATAGATATACTATGAAAATATAATTAATGAAGAATCTAATGATATTTATTTAGTATCATAAATATTATTATTTTATTATATAAATTTGGTTAGACTTAAGATCATTTGATCCTAAAAAAGTTATAATCAATTATAATCTAAGGATGGATGGAGTAATAGCCACCATGTCCACTCAAAGCGGGCTTTCCTAGCTGAGACATGAAACTTACCTTTCTCTGCTAAGTTCTCTTTTACTCGTTTCTTCATTCTTTCTTCTTCCCCATGGTCCCACCCTTCGGATGCGCATTCCAATATAGTCTGTTTATGCATGCACCACCCAAAAAAAAAGACGGCATGCGACTATCAGGAATAGCAAGTTACGTTTTGTGTATATATATATACCCTGGGTACTGAATATTAATTAGTACCCGAGCCTCCCACCGCGTGCCTGGCTCACCGTCCTCCGCAGACTCAGGCACCTACGTCAAGGGGTTTGGGGCAGCCTTCCGGCTCAGCCACCCAGCCCGGCTCGCAATCAGATTATGGAACCGCTCCCCAACCCACTGCCCACGTTCTCTGCGGTTCAATTCCAATCAGCTCGGCGTTTCACCAAAAAAAACAGCTCGCTCCGTCCGCAACCCTACCGGCGCCGCGCCCCTGACCCCTCCGGCGCGGCCCCACCCTGCACCCATCGGCGCCACCCCTCACCCCTCCGGAGGCAGGTCGCAGGGTGTTGACATAGCAGACTTGCAAGGTTGGGGCTGGGTCCGCGAGGCGCAGGTGCCGGGACTGACCTTGGCGATCTGGTCCAATGCCGGTGAGGCCAAGCAGCCGACATTCATGTGGCTTGCTGGGGAGCGTGGAGCCCGATGAGATCCAACCACAGCTATCACAGCCATGGCTCCTGCAGTGCTGGTGGCGCACAGGTATTCCATTCTGTCCCCCCCGCATCTTCATCTGACATCGTCGCGTCCTGCAACTCTCCCATGATCCAGATCCATATGCTGAGGCACCCCTCTCCATCTAGACTCCATCTAGACTGGGTAGACATCAAGTCTTCGGAAATTATCTCTTCCCCTCATCTTTTAAATATGGTCTTGATTAGTCATTTGAGGCAATCCTATTGGTCTTACCCAATGGTAATTTCTCATAATTTTGTTCTTGTTCAGTCATAGGTGAAGGCGGCCATGGTGGCTTTGCGAAAGGGCTCGACAGACTGTCTGTTCTTACTGTAGTGCCGCCTGCACGTTCAGAATTGAAGTGGGACAAACATAGAGCTTCTAACTTTCGCATTATCTGCTGATTTTCCAAAGCCACTAGGCTACAGAATAGGATTGAGAAAGTAATCACAAGACTCTTTAATTCTTATCAATGTCTGATATTGATCTTTTTATGTTTTTTTCATTACATATTTACATCTATACGTAGCTGCGAGTTATAATCGTGCATTAACAGATCTAATCATTTTTATTTGTTTGTTTAATTCATATGCAGTGCCATTGTGTGATAATTATTAAATAAATTAGTCTACTTATCTATAGTACAGATGATTCAACATCTCTTTTTTATAGAGATTCATAAAAAAAACATCAGAGATTATATATGGATATGCCAACATATTACTTATTTTGAATTTATTCATAGATGGAATTTTTTCACCTCCAATTCTGATGCTTAGAGCTTATTTCATAAACACCAGTTTTGTGCATCTAGTTGTTAATTAACATATGTGGGTAGAGGGAGTGATTTCTTATCCACTTAGTGTGTGACTGACTGATCCCGTTAGTTCCAAATATCTATATACATCAATTTGTATATAGGTATTTCATATTTGGTACATGGTGGCATTTAACGTTCATGCTGTCATGCTATAGTTTGCCTAGCGCCAGTGGCTCTTTCCTGAGATCCTTGACTTATGTTAGTAGATATGGCATAATTATAATTTTACTAAGCTATTAAATTTATGCGTCTGTAGATCATCGGTCACTGCCACCATTGCCACAGATGATGTGCATGCCAG